TTCCATTTTTCTTTTATCTTTTTATTTTGTGGGTCCTTTTGTAAATCACCTTCTATTTTTTTTAGTTCTTCTTGTAATTTTCCTTGTTGAAGCCTCCTATCTTTGTTTTTCTTAGAGTTATATGCAATTGTCAATCCCCGAATGTAAGCTTTTGTAGTATCCCACAAGTTTTGTGTTGATGTCTCTTCCTTTTTATTTATCTGAAAAAATAATGTCAACTCCTTTTGTAGCATCTGTATATATTTCTTATCTTTACACAGTTTTGATTCATTGTCCATCTTTTCCTCTGTTTTTGGCCTTTCCATTTTATTATTATTGGGTTGTTATCCGCCCAATCATTAAGCCCTATTTCAATTTTCTCTATCCCGTTTAATACTTCTGTTGTTGCCCAGGCCATATCAATCCTAGACCAAGATTGATGCGGATATGAATAGAACGTATATTGTTTATCTGACCTGTGTGTCTCTCTCCATATATCCTGAAGGTTGAGTTCTGTTACCATGTCAAAGAACGATTTTGGTAATATATTTTTCTTCTTTTTGTTCTTTTTACTACACTTATAATCTTTCTTAACATCAACTATTGCATTTAAATCCCCAATCATACAAATACTTTCATAATCCAGATCAACTAGTTTCTTATGTACCTTTTTAAAAAATTCATGTTGATTATTGTTTGGTGCATATACTGCTGTTAATAAGATTTGTTTTTGCTCTAATTCTATTTCCAACATTAAAATTCTCCCCTCTTCATCTGAATATATTAATTTTGATTTTATTTTTTCTTTAACATATATAGCAATTCCTCCTTTCTTGTTTTGTGCTAATGTTGTGTATAGTGTTCCTAATTTTACGTTCTCTAGTAGTTTTCTATAATCCTTTTTTATATGAACTTCCTGGAGACATATCATATCTGCATCCAATTTCCTTAATTTGTTAAACGTTTGTGCTCTTTTTCTTGGTATATTTAAACCATTAATGTTTACAGAGAAGAGCTTAATTGCGTCTCCCATTTTTTACTTGATCTGTTTTTTTTATGCTTCTTGTCTCTATTACTCTTCCTTTTGCTCCTTCTCTTTCTAACCTTTCTCTTTCTTGTATCTTTTGTATTTCTCTTTCTCATTCAACTTCCTCTGATAAATCCTCATCCTGACTTTTACTCTCCGTCTCTTCCCTACTTTCTTGTTCTTCTCCCTGCGTAAAGTAACGTTCATAAAAGTCTTGAGCTTTCTCAAGTGTATCTATCTTATATTTTTTTTCCTGCCAAGTTAGAAATATGCCTTCAGGTATTAACCATCGAAACATAACTTTATATTTAGTTAATTGGGTCGTTAGAAATTGGTATTCTCGTCTCTGGTTTCGTATTCTATGTGGTATTTGTTTTAATACAATTATTTCTTTACCCTTATATATTATTGGTTCGTCTCTTGTTTTTTTATATATTTCATCCTTTATTGATCTTCTAGTAAATCTTATATGAACCTCTCTTGCCAATCTATGCCTTTGTGCATAATTTGTATATACTCTATATGTTTCGTCTATGTCTCTCCTTGTTTCCTGTTTGTCCTTTCCTAATATCTCCGCCAACATCTCCGCCATCTTCTCTCCCAAATCTTCTTCCTTTTCCTCTACAATGTTTTGGAATCTTAGNTTCATGATTATTTGCTATTGCCTCTTGGGTCATCATCATTGTTTCTTGAATCATTTGTAGTGTTATCTGCATGCTCTGTGGGGTCATTGCCAATTCTGCCTTTTCTTTTTCTTTCCCCAACATGGTCCCTATCATTCTTTGACCTGTAGGAGAGGCCATTATAGGTGTGGGATTTGTAACTATTTTTTTGCCTACTTTAATTGTTGTTGCTGTACTTGTCATTTTTATTACTTGAATAATATTTCTCCACTTTTGCATATACCAATTTATGGCAAGTTGTTTTTGTTGATCAAATTGGTTTTCAATCTATATAGTCTAAGCTTAAATATGTAAGTATATATATAATATAAATAGCAAAGAATATATATATAATATTTCTAGTTATATATCACTATATATGACTATAATACCTTTATAGAACGTTATTCTTAGGGTTAACGTTAAATAATAAAATTACAAATAGAGTTATACCTTTCCTTGTCCCACTATTATCTGGTATTATAAATTATACTCTTATAACACTCTTAACACCTCTTATATATGTTTCTATAACACTACACACAATACATATACATATAATATTCTCTAAGTATTATCACCACTCTTATTTTCATTCACTATCACCCTTATTTGAGTAATCACCTGTCTCTATATTTCTTATACTTATTTGCTATTCTGTTAGATATGATGCAAATTTATAGTTAAATCATAAGAACAAATCACTTAAAAGTACATTTAATCCATTAATTGAAATCTTCAGGACAGGTTTAAAAGCCTAGCATGTTCCTGAATTAAAAATCTCTTTCTCTTAAGTTTAGTTTTTCATTTTTTTTAACAATTTCTTTTTAGATTTTTTTTTAAAAAAACAATTTGAAAACAGTTGAGTTAAGCTTTGGTATTTTTTTTTTTAAAAAAAGGGCAAAGAAAGGGACATTCATCCAATTTGGACCATTTTTTAAGAAAAGATCCCTATACATTTCCGCAGAGGACTATTTGATGTACTGGTTTAGGCATCAGGCCAGAAACTCTGAGAACATAAGGCACAAAACCAACTGGGTGATTTTGGGTCAGTCATTCTCTCTAAAAAGCAGGCAACCCATTTTGGAAAAAAAACCTTGCCATGAAAACTCCAGGGATTAGTCCAAGAAGTTGCAAGCCGTCACCAATAACCCACCTTCCCCATTGCCAGGCCATTTTCCCCTTTTTATTACTTTTCAATTGTTATGCCAATTAACTTATTTTTTTTTAAATAGTGAAACTGTAATCAGATTTATATTTTGATGGCCAACAAAGAAATTAAAAATAATGAGACATGGCATCATCCACCAAGATGATGACTGATATGCAGTTTCATATGCTCTGTCTCTTTCCCTTTCCAGGCTACCAGTACCTGATCTGTGACCATATGAGAGCTGTGCATTTCTACATCAGTGTCTTGAAAGATTCCTGTCCAATGATGGCTTTCCCTTGCTCCAGTTATAAGAATTTCTTAGGTGGTCACTGTTTAGATTGCTTCGATCCTTTCTTGCTCTCCTGTCCCACATTAGGTATGTTACTTCTCCAGTGATCTCAGAATCTAAACTTTGAAAATTTGGAATGTGAATGGAGTCAGGATATGGCAGGCCTTCCATCTTCTGTGAGAAATGTGCTTCCCATTAAATGATAAATGAAATCAAAGTCTCTGTTGAGGACATAATATTTTATTGAAAATTCTGTCAAAGTTGAAACTTGCATACCCCAAATCTGAACAATTCTAAAATGTAAGTTGTTGAAATGTTTGATTCCAACTCCACAGCAGAGTTTGCTGTTTACTTTCCAAGTATGTACACAGTAAATCAGAGTATAGCAGTAATAAAGCCATTTTGTTCCCATTCCCTCATTTATTTTTTTAAAAAAGGAATAGGAAAAAGAAAGAATGGAATATCCATACTTATACGGGGCGGGGGGGGGAAGTAGGAACCTATTTTTGTATTGAAGAACTCAGTCCAATCCTAAGATTCAAAACAGATTCCTAGAGTTTTTCTACCGTAGCAAATTTTGGAACAGAGGTTTTGCTGTGACAATAGAAAAAGATGCAAAGACAACAATGAATTGTTCCCACTCTCTTGTCTATCCTCTGCCTGTGTTTAATGGCATGAAAGTTACACATTAAGTCTGCAGAAAACATGGACTGGAACTGAGACGAGGATAATGTAGATGGCAATTAAAATAGGGTAGTTAGGCTGCCTATTGTGTTTAAAAAATGAGTATGTCTTCTAAGACCTTGACTTACTTGCACAGAACTCCAATACTACAAATATGCTAGAGCAGCATATATATTTTTCCAAATTTCTCCCCATGACATTGCCGTCTTCTCAGAGGTGTCTATTGTATAGGCATGATAAAAAAGAACAAGAGATCAGCTGTGATTGAAGCTTTACCCATTTTAATGTACAATACACCTAAAAATCAGATGGAGCTTTGATTACAAAATCATGGCCACCATCTTGATTTTTTAAATTATACTCTGTGGATATCCCCGCTTTATCTCATTCATAGCCCATACAAAGAGTGGTTTAAGTTGTCATGTGCTATTTCAGTGTTAAAATAGTGTTCCCCTGCTATCTGACAGCTTCAAGGTGCTTCTAAATATCAAGACTTTGTCATTCATTATCTTAAAAGGAAGATAGGTGACTGACAGAGACTGAAAACAGAGGAAATGGAAGGAGGATAAAGATAAGCAATAAGAACAACATTTGATATTAGAAAGCAAATTTCATGCCAATATAAGTATCTGCCCAGTCAAGGATGGGTGAAGAGCACTTAAGCTCAGCACCAAGGAAAGTGATACTTGCTTTACAGTAGCAGACTTTAGGTTTCTAGTAAAAATCAGAATAGATCTTACAAGTTGGATCTTAGTTGAGATTCCAATTTTAAGCATAACTTAAGAAAAACTTCTTCAGTGGTCTTTTTTTTTTTCAAATTAAGAGTGCGTTTGTAAAAAGGAAACTTGTAGAAACATACTGTTCCCCATTTTGACCCTTAACATTCCCAACTTAACATTCCCAACCCTTTTTCAGATTTGGCAGAGGGGGGGGGGAGTTAAAAGGTAGAAATGGAAATTACCTAGTTTCCAAAAGAGTCTGCTCCCATTGTCATAATTAACTCTCTCATTTCTGAAACTGTCTCCCTGAGATTGGTCCCTGCTATTTTCTAGTGATTTCACCACATCCTCAAATAGCTTCCTGAAAGGCCTAGAGCCTGCATTTTGACTCACAGCACACAAGATATTGCTTGCCCCTACTGGAAGAGAAATATCCTGTGTGTGAATTCTTCTGAGAGTCAGTGCTATAGCTGGTATAATTAATGGATAGGAGGAAAAGGATACTGTTAAGTCCTGGGAATAATGGCGCTTGAGACGATTCATCTCTAACAAGTCTTTATTGTTTGCTCCACTCTCGAACAACCAGAGCAGAGGCACGCAGGCCTCTATTTATACCCTCTGATCCCCGGGCAAGTTCAACCAATCATGAGGCGGGCTTTTCCCGCCTTGCGCATGCGCACAAGGCTGGCGCCGCTCAGTCTGGTCCCGGGCAGCTTCTGCAAATGCCCGGGACTCTTGCAACATCCCGAGCCTGCATCTTGCAGGCTCAGGACACAACAGATACAGATGCTGCATTTACCTTGCACACCTTGAATTTCACCTGATTCAAACATTTAAGTTTTCCCTCTTCAAACCTAATTTTGCTATTTAAATGAAAAGTGAGACCTACAAAATCTCATATTCGATACCCAGTACTAACGGCATGTTCACTCTTTACTTATGCACCATGAAATTCAGTTTTCTTCTGTATTATAATGTTAATTTAGGACTTTTGGATAATGGAGGACTCAACATGAAAACATTGCCTAGAGAGGTTAAAGTTTACTTGGCCACAGCTGCATCAGCACCATACTGTGGTGAGTAACAAAAAATTGAAAACTTTCTTCGTAATATCAGAGGAGAATAATTTAGAATTCAGAACCAAAGATACTGATAGCTTTCAAATGTAAAATGAATACATAGTATGGATAATCTTCTTCTTGATTTTGTAGTTAAAGTTCTGCTTTAAAGCTCCTTACTGAGATTGAATTGTTTATATCTATCTCTACTAGAAAAGATCTAAGTACCTAGAACAGAACAGAACAGAACAGAACAGAATAGAGCTGGAAGGAACCTTGAAGGTCTTCTAGTCCAGCCACCTGCTCAAGCAGGAGAACCTATACCATTTCAGACAAGTGGCTGTCTAGTCTCTTCTTAAAAACATCCAGTGATGAAGCATGCATGGTTTCTGAAGGCAAGCTGTTCCACTGGTTAATTAGTCTCACTGTCAGGAAGTTTCTCCTTAATTCTAGGTTGCTTCTCTCTTTGTTCAGTTTCCAACTATTGTTTCTTGTCCCGCCCTCTGGTGCTTTGGAGAATAATTTGACCCCCTCTTCTCTGTGGCAGCCCCTCAGATATTGGAATACTGCTATCGTGTTACCCCTAGTCCAGTGATGGTGAACCTTTTAGAGACTGAGTGCCCAAACTGCAACCCAAAACCCACTTATGCATCGTCGAGTGCCGGGTGGGTGTGGCTCATTGGGTGGGTGTGGCCCATTGGGCAAGCATGGCTGCAGTGGTAACGGCAGACTGGGTGGGACTAAAAAGTTCAATCAATCAATTCCAACTTTGCAAGAACATTTTTTCCCCGCGAGTTGAAATTGACTGATTGAACCTTTTTGGGGTTTTTTGCACATGGCAGCAGAGGCCTAAAGTGAAAAGGTTTTATAAAACCCAGATGAAGGCCTAGGATTGGGGCGACGACGTGCGTGCCCACAGAGAGGGCTCTGAGTGCCGCCTCTGGCTCCCGTGCCATAGGTTCACCACCACTGCCCTAGTTCTTCTCTTCTCTAGACTAGCCAAACCCAAATCCTGCAACCATTCTTCATATGTTTTAGTCTCCAGGCCTTTGATCGTCTTAATTGCTCTTCTCTGAACTTTTCCCAAAGTCTCAACATCTTTTTTGTAGTGTGGTGACCAAAATTAGTTGCAATATTCCAGGTATGGTCTTACTAAGGTTTTATAAAGTGGTACTAATACTTCATGTGATTTTGATTCTATGCCTCTGTTTATACAACCCAGGATAGTATTAGCTTTTTTGGCTGTTACCACACGCTGCTGGCTCATATTCAAGTGATTATATACTAGGACTCCAAGGTCCCTCTCACAGTTACAGTTTTTCAGCCAAATCTCACCTAGTCCATACTTATACCTTTGGTTTTTCCTGCCTAAATGTAAATCTTTGCTTTTCTCCACATTAAAATTCATTTTGTTGGATAGGGCCCATTGTTCAAGTCTGTCAAGATCTTTGGGGATCCTGAGCTTGTCTTCTGGTGTGTTGGCTATTCCTGCCAACTTAGTGTCATCTGCAGATTTGATGAGTTCCCCTTCGACACTTCTTTTCTCCTGGTCTGAGAATAACAATATACCGTCGAGCTCAGGATTTTTCAAGAATGGGAAAAAGGAGAAAGAGACAGCATGTTCACTCAGCAGCACAGAGTTCTTCCAAGCCACTGAAGCAGCAGAAAATGGAAGATTTTGCTGCAAATAGACAGTCTGCTCCAGTAAGTAACTCATCTGTATATGACTCATTGGAATGGGATTTACAAACAAACTTGAAAGCAAACAGCATATAGAACTTTCTGTTCTCTCACAGAAAATATCTCCCCTCCTTGGAACTCAGCACCTGCTTTCTTTGCACAGGATGGGATAGTAACAAATTTATAAAGGGAGAATCCCATAGATCTCCTTTTCAGACAATGTTTGCTTACAGCTCAAATTGTAAATTCAATCTACGAACTTTTATCAACTGTCACAAATAAGGTTGACTGCTTGAAAGAGTCTTTTACAAAGTTTATTACAAGTCACCCAAACATTGCAGAAGGACCCAGGAGGACACCTAATGATAGACATGAGATGACTAATACAGAAATGGAAACTAGAACAGGCCCTTCTCTCCCTTCTAAAAATGTGAGAGGAAAGAATACCTACAAAGAAAACAACACTCAATCAGATAGTTCAAGAGGTGACCATTATAACTTCAGTTTGCAGACCAACCAGGTTACCTTGCAAATTTACAACAACAGAAGGAATAGAGGGCACTGGAGTGATAGAAAAGCTGTTAGGCTGTCTCTGAGCCAGCTGCTCCGCTACGAGTACACTCTGATAGATTTACTACACGCAGAATGGTTGCCAGCAAGAAGGCAATATATGCAAATTTTGTTATCTTTCAAGCAGTCCATAATTCCTTCAATGCTTTTTAGAATGAAGCCCTTCCTGAGCAGTTTTTCAATATTTCTAATACATGTCTTCTGCTCAGAGAAAGTGTGCCCACTCCTGGATCAGTCTCTCCACGAGGGAACTATTGCTTTACATTCAAGTGGCAACAGACCTCATACTGATAAGCTTGAAGCAGTGGCAGCTGAATCAACCTTGAGAAAGCAGAAAAGTGATCCACAAACTGAGTTACCCACAGCTACTGAATCTGCTGAGGACATGCCAGAAGAAATGTTGATAGACTTTATCAGTGTATTGCCAGAATCTGAGCAAGCTAATAATACTCAGAGACTGGACGATTTAAAAAAAGCATTGACAACAACTCAATCTACAGCAAAGCCTCTATTTAATTTGGCTTCACCAAATGCTCAGACTTGTGGCAATATAGTTATCCAACCACTTACAATTTCCTCAATAGTAAAAAAAAAAAGTATTGTTACTCAGGCTGACAGTGGGGTAAGTATACTGACTTACTCAGACCCTGATAAACAGCAAAAAAAAACCTGTTCCAGCATTCAGCACCCTCTAAGCGTGCAGATTCTAAGGATACAATCAATCTTCCACCTTCACTTGAGTCAAAAGTGCCTTTAATATCCCCTCACAAGATGAACCCCCCAACTGCACCCCCCAAAAATGGACATAAATCTACATGAGTTCTAGATGGGGATTCTGCTGAGAAAGGTGAAGACTCTCTGCTCCAGAGGCAGAGACAGAGGCATGCTTCCTTCCCCCATATAAATGGTGGGGCTAAATTTGCTGTTATGGATGATGTCCCCATAGTCTCGCAAAACTTGCCTAATTCTTGGTTAAATGCATCAAATAACAATTATTATTACTGTCTTCCAACAAGTGCCCCTTCTGAGAACATGAACTGACTATACGAAAGCCAGTGCAAGAAAAACACTTTAAACATCATGTGATATCGATTTAGAGGCCTTAATTACTCTGATCCTCTGATAGATAAGGATATTATATTGGTGCAAGAGACTTGGACTGTTGATGATCTCCTGCTTAATGGCTGTCATTCATATAAGCTAGAAGCAAGGCCAGGTAGAGGCCCAGGGAAACTGAAAGGAGGGCTGGATATATTTATTTCTACCAACTTGAGAGCAGAGCCCACACTTATTACCCCTTTAAAACATACAGCTATGGCCCTTCTTCTCAAGTTGGACTCGGTCTTGCTTTTAATAATTAATGTTTATCTCCCTCCTTCACTAAGAAAAGCTGAAACCACTGATGTATGGCTGGAGTTGGAACACTACGTTAATAATCAACTCATGGAACACCCAAATGCCAGGGTCCTACTAGGGGGAGATTTTAATGCTAGATTGGGACCAGATGATTATACATTATTTATGAAATATAATCAGTACCCACCATCGGAGGTTCCTATACAAACCAGCCCCTCCTTCATACGACTCTCATTAGAGCTAATTATGCTGGCCTCTGTCTTGCAAAGTTGGCTAATAAATTTAACTTTTTCATATCTAATGGCTCATGGGCTGGCGACTACCCTGGCGAGTTTACATTTATGACAGGGACCAAATTAGCACCATTGATTATATCTTAACTTCTATGGAGTTACTACATTATATAGAAAATTTTGAAGTCCTGCCGTACCTAGAAAGTGATCATCTACCACTGTGTATACACATGAAGCCCTTTATCTGGCAGATACCCTCCAACGACCATTTTATCCCTGCAATCTCTACAGCAGGCCTAACAAGATGTCAGGTCAAATGGACCCAACAACTTGATCAGAAGGTGAGGAAAGCCCTAACAGAGGATAATTTTTTTAAAAAATCCATACAGCCTTTATATCAGCCAACCCGACTCAAGACTTATTAGAACTATATAAAAGCTTAGTTTATGAGCTACAACCATTACTAGCACATGACCAAAATTTCTCAGTTAAGAGGCCCTTCATTGCCTCCAAATGATGGTTTGATAAAGATTGTGTAGAAGTCAAGAAAGCTCTTACCTTGGTATACAAGGAGTACAAAAGTGAGAATGGATATGGCAATAAAGCAATTCTTAAACAGTTACTCACACTCAAAAAACAATTTAAGCAATTGATTGCAGTCAAGAAGAGAGAGAGAGAGAGAGAGAGAGAGAGAGAGAGAGAGAGAGAGAGAGAGAGAGAGAGAGAGAGAGA